ATAAGAAACTCTGATATACAAGCGTAATAGACATAAAACATTACATAGGCCTATGTAGCTTTTATCATGACAATACAGGTACAGCAGGTGGTTCACGGGACAAGTACAGCAGATGGTTCACGGGGCAGGTACTGCAGATGGTTCACAGGGCAGGTACAGCAGATGGTTCACGGGCCAGGTACTGCAGATGGTTCACAGGGGCAGGTACAGCAGATGGTTCACAGGGGCAGGTACAGCAAGATGGTTCACGGGGCAGGTACAGCAGATGGTTCACAGGGCAGGTACAGCAGATGGTTCACAGGGGCAGGTACAGCAGATGGTTCACAGGGGCAGGTACAGCAGATGGTTCACAGGGGCAGGTGCAACAGATGGTTCACAGGGCAGGTACAGCAGATGGTTCACGGGGCAGGTACAGCAGATGGTTCACGGGGCTGCTGTAACGCGTGTAAACATGTTTTGGTGTTGTGTTTTTTTGTTCAAAAGTTCAATAAATTATTTTCGTTATGAGAACTTTCAAATTATTATTATTATTATTATTATTATTATTATTATTTTTTTTTTTTTATTATTAATTCTTAGTTCTTTAGTAAAGATTAATGAGACAGAAATAATTCACACAATATTAGTTGTTTATTTAACGGTTGATTGGCTCTACACAAATCCCACAACACCACGACTGTCAGGACTTAACTAACTCGGAGAGGAAAACTGACAGAAGTTATTCAGACAGTCCGAGCTGACAGGAGTCGTCACGGAAAATAACCAAAATGAACAGAAGCGGACCAAAACGAGCGAGACCGGAAAGGAACGAGAACGGACGGAAACCAGAATCAGAACATAAACAAAACGAACCAAAATTACCACAGAAACGGACAGAAATCTCATCAGCAACGAATTAAAACTGACAAAAATGACTGAAACGGACCAAAAGAACGGACACTAATTCACCAACTCGTCCTTGGGATCCGGTCCAGTGTGTCACTAGTCCAGCTGATTGTTGTTTTAACCGATGTAAACAAACAAACGCCAAAACAAAACTCGTACCTTGAACCACCAAGTTGTCGTACATGTTTAGCAAGAAGCGATAGTCGACCACATTGATTTAAGGGGACGTATTAGTAGATAAGGGGTTATATTAGGGGTATAAGGGGACATATTAGGGGTTAAGGGGTTATATTAGGGGTTAAGGGGTTATATTAGGAGGTTAAGGGAGTCAGGTTAGTGGCTGAAAGATCGCATGATACTGGGTTTTGGAACGTGTGTGTGTGTTGGGATAGGTAGATAGATAGATAGATTTTTATTCAGTAAAATCGTCACCCAAGTAAACATTTAATGCCTCCGGTACTGAACGTGGCTTTGACAGTCCACCAACGTCACGCGTCACACCGTAACAACATCTTGTGGCTGAGTTCCTGTTTCTGCTGGTTCCTCGCCTCTGCTTAGTCTCCCTTCTGCTTCTGCTTGGTGAGCGTGAAAATGAGGTGATGTGGGGTGAGAGCCATACACTAACTCAGGCCTTCCACCCTACAGTACCATGCCAGCACAACCCACACTGTCCAGCACCACCCAGCACCACCCTGTGTGCCAAGCCTTGTCGTCTCTCACGTCGCCGTTCCTCCCCCCACCCTCTCCCCCCACCCTCCAGGCCGACAGTATTTTTCTGTCGTCGACGGTGTCCTGCCGGCGACTGTGATGAGTGGTGAGTGGTGGTTGTAGTGGTTGTGGTAGTTATAGTGGTGGTGGTTATAGTGGTGGTGGTGGTGGTAATAGTAGTGGTGGTGGCTATAGTGAAGTAGTAGTGGTGGTGGTAGTGCACTAGGGACACCTTAGCGAAGCACTGTGGTAGTGGTGGTAGAGACACTGGGGACACCTTAGCGAGCACTGTGGGTGGTGGTAGTGATGGTGGTGGTCCTCCTAATGTACCTGACGGAGACGGCGGTCACCATCAGGCAGGAGGCAGATGTTCTCTTGTTGGCGGTGATGTTCTCTTGTTGGCGGTGATGTTCTCCTGTTGGCGGTGATGTTCTCTTGTTGGCGGTGATGTTCTCGAGTCCTGGCCGCCGCCCCGACTCTTGAATATTGGCGAGGTCGTGGGTGGTGATGGAGGGAGGAGGGCGTTATTACAGTTTTTGGTGGGTGGGTGGGTGGGTGGCGTCAGGGGCGCACAATGGCCCCGCACGCTGCGCCTGATTACCTCGGTAAAGGCGCACTAACTTGTGGGCCACAACACACTCCTTGTTTGTTGACGTGTGGCCCACCTGCTGGCCCACCTGCTGCCTGCTGGTAGTTGTGGTAGTGTGGTGATGGTAGTTGTAATGTAGCTTGGGTGGTGTTAGTAGTGGTGGTAGTAGTGGTCATCAATGGGTGGTCGTAGTGGTCATCAGTGGGTGATCGTAGTGGTCATCAGTGGGTGGTCGTAGTGGTCATCAGTGGGTGGTAGTAGTGGTCATCAATGGGTGGTCGTAGTGGTCATCAGTGGGTGGTCGTAGTGGTCATCAGTGGGTGGTAGTAGTGGTCATCAATGGGTGGTCGTAGTGGTCATCAGTGGGTGGTCGTAGTGGTCATCAGTGGGTGATCGTAGTGGTCATCAATGGGTGGTCGTAGTGGTCGGCAGTGGGGAGCGACTGGGCGGCGGGCGGCTGGGTGGTGGGGGCGAGCGACCAAGATAAAATCCAGGTGATGTGTCGCAGCAGCGGAAAAACCGTGAGTGTGGAGCGCCACCAAGCACACTTAAAGCTGCCGCCGCGCCCCGCCCTTGTGTGGCCCTCTGTGGCCCTGTGGCCCTGATGCTGGACCCCTCTGTAGTAACCTGTGGCCCTCTGTCCATAACTTTGGCCATTATATAACCTGTATTGGCGTTTTCCTCATGAGCAGCCTTGTGTTAGCTTTAAGTGGCCACTGTGGCCCTTCTGCTGAACCCTAGTGTGGCCCTCTTTGTTTCCATATGGCCCTCTCATGCACTTTCTCCTTTGTGGCCATCGTGTGACTTTATCTCTGTTCTCCGTGAGTGCCCTCAGGGTGGCCCCGTTTGGTCCTTTGCAGTCTTCGTGGCCCTCTTGTGGCCCACTCACATTGATACCCCCTCCCCCCCATGTGGCTCAGTGGAGCTCTGCTTACGTCACTGTGCATATTATTGGTGTCGCTTCTTCCGCATTTGGCCTGTGGTTTAGTTGTGGTCCTCTGTGTTTTTATTAATGGCCTGGTTTGATCTTGATGGTGGCCTACTGTGGCTCCATGCTCTGCGACTATGTGGCGTATGCCCTCTAATAGTGGCCCTCTGTGGCCCCGTGTGGTGTGTGTGAATATGTGGCGTTTGACCTCTACTAGTGGCCCTCTGTGGCCTCGTGCAGTGAGGCTCTAAATGGCCTTGTTGGTGGCCCCGCGTGACACTTCACTGTCCCGCATGTGGGAGGTGTGTAGGCAAGGTAGTGGTGTGTGTGTGTGTGTGTGTGTGTGTGTGTGTGTGTATGTATGTGTCAGCGGCTTCCATGTGGAACTCTCCACACACACACACACACACACACACACAGGGTTCTTGTGTGCATGTTTGTGAGGGGGGGGGGCAGGAGACAGCGTGACAATGGCCCTTGAGTGGTGATGTAGTCGTTGTTGTGGCATCATCATCATCATTATATGTCAGTTGGTATACGAGAAACACCACAGAACATTTGGCACCATGAAAGACAACATTTTTAGCTAAGGTCGAGTCTGGGCATACATTTGACGCCATGTTGTCTCTCAAGTCCTGCGAGGGAGAATAAGGAGGAGGGGGGGGGGGCAGATACTCCCCCTCTCACCTTAACCACTCACCCCCTCCCCACCCCGTAAGACAAGGTGTAAGGAAAATGTAGAGTCAAGTGTGTAGTACAGGTGTGTTAATGAGACAGGTAGTACAGGTAAAAGCAATGAGGACAGTGTGTACAGGTGTAAGCAATGAGGGACAGGTGTTAACGAGGGACAGGTGTAGTACAGGTGTGTTAACAAGGGACAGGTGTAGTACAGGCACGAGGACAGGTAGTACAGGTGTGTTAACGAGGACAGGTGTAGTACAGGTGTGTTAACGAGGACAGGTAGTACAGGTGTGTTAACGAGGACAGGTAGTACAGGTGTAGCGACATTTGTGTGTAATACCACAGCGATGAAGGTTCGTGGAGGAGGGAAGGTTGAGGGCCGCGTGTTAAGGGAGGGAAGGTGGAGGGCCGCGTGTGTTAAGGGAGGGAGGGGAAGGTGGAGGGCGCGTGTTGAAAGAGGGAGGAAGGTGGGGAGAATACGCGTGTTGAAGGAGGGGAAGAAGGGAAGGTTAAGGGCTGCGTGTTAAGGGAGGGAAGGAGGAAGGTGGAGGGAGGGCCGCGTGTTAAAGGGAGAGGAGGGAAGGTGGAGGGCCGCGTGTTAGGGAGGGAGGGGAAGGTGGAGGGCTGCGTGTTGAGGGAGGGAGGGAAGGGTGAGGGCCGCGTGTTGAGGGAAGGAAGAAGGGAAGGTTAAGGGCTGCGTGTTAAGGGAGGGGAAGGTGGAGGGCCGCGTGTTAAGGGATGGGGGAGGGCGGGAGGGAGGGAAGGAAGGTGGAGGGCCATCAACATGGAGGGAGATGGAAGACCTGACACTGAGGCTGATTTAGGGGAGGGAGGCTGCCAGGACCGGAAGACCTGGCCCTCACCTGGACCTTATCTGGCTCTCACCTGGACCTTATCTTGTCCTTACCTGCCCTTACATAACCTGATCTAAGTACGTCCTTAACTACTGAAACTGGGCGTTAGGGCTGAGACGGTAGTTAGGTTCCAATTGTTAACTTGATTGTTTTAGTGGAGTGATTATTATTATTATTATTATTAATATTATTATGATGTGTCAGTAGTACAGTGATCCTGTGTTTACAAGCCTAAGATATACGGTACCTTAGGGTCAAGGTCATAACAGGTCACAACCACTTGACCAGCAGGAGTTAATAAAGCGATGTGATCTCTCCTCGCGTCCGTCTGTCCGTGTGTAGGGTAGGGAGTAGAATGGGTGGATCGGGGTGGGGACGGTGGCAGCACGGAGGTCAGGGTGTGGACGGTGGCACGGAGGTCAGGTGGACTGCACGGAGGTCAGGTGTGGACGGCCGGAGGGTCAGGAGTGGGGACAGTGGCAGCACGGAGGTCAGGGTGTGGACAGTGGCAACGGAGGTCAGGGTGTGGACGGTGGCAGTACGGAGGTCAGGGTGTGGGCGGTGGCAGCACGGAGGTCAGGGTGTGGACAGTGGCAGCCGGAGGGTCAGGGTGTGGACAGTGGCAGCACGGAGGTCAGGGTGTGGTGTGGCAGCACGGAGGGTCAGGGGTGTGGACAGTGGCAGCACGGAGGTCAGGGGTGTGGACGGTGGCAGCACCGGAGGTCAGGGTGTGGACGGTGGCACGGAGGGTCAGGGTGTGGACGGTGGCAGCATGGAAGGTCAGGGTGTGGACGGTGGCAGCACCGGAGGGTCAGGTGTGGACGGTGGCACGGAGGGTCAGGGTGTGGACGGTGGCAGCACGGAGGGTCAGGGTGTGGACGGTGGCAGCACGGAGGGTCAGTGGGGACGGTGGCAGCACGGAGGTCAGGGTGGGACAGTGGCAGCATGGAGGTCAGGGGTGTGGACAGTGGCAGCACGGAGGGTCAAGGTGGACGGTGGCAGACACGGAGGGTCAGGGTGTGGACGGTGGCAGCACGGGGGGTCAGGGTGTGGACGGTGGCAGCACGGAGGGTCAGGGTGTGGACGGTGGCAGCTAATAAATAAAAGCGTCAGCCTGGCGGGCGGGGCTGGACAAAGCGGCCGCCGAGGACGCTGCTGCATGACCGACCTGCTGTGTGTGGTGCTGTGTGTGTGTGTGGTGCTGTGTGTGGTGCTGTGTGGTGCTGTGTGTGTGTGTGGTGTGTGTGTGTGGTGCTGGTGTGGTGGTGCTGTGTGTGTGGTGCTGTGTGTGTGGTGCTGTAATATATAATAATAATAATTAACGGTTTTTGAAGAGCTTGCAGCCAGAAAGGCTGAAAATATACAGTTACATATTTGGGGAATGGGTTACGAATTACAAATAATATACAAGGACATAAGTGACACAAATAAGACATATAGTAACTTAGATGGGGATCAGCTCAAAATACAATTCATTTCAACATAGTGACAGTGTAGGGGCAGTGTTTACGGGAGTGAATACACTGATTTATGTACATGTTATTGATAATTTTACAATGGTTGGGACTGGGCTGTTCTTATAGCGATCAGTTCGTGCACGTATGGGCTGGATGCGGTTGTGGTGTCGAACAGCAATTCTCGGACAGGGGATCAGGTGGTAGTAGGGGCCGGTGTCGGGGATGGTGTAAGCTTCTACCAAATTTGCAGATGAGGTCGTGGTGATGGTCAGTGAGAGTCGAAGGGTCAGTGTGTTGAGCGCTTCTTGATATGTGGAGTAGGAAGGAGAGAATAATCTTGCATGCCCTCTTGCACTTTTCTAGATGTTTACGTTGTGTGGCATTTAGGAGGAAGACCAGGTGGGGGAGGCATAGGTGAGCTTGGGAAGTATGAATGTTGTGTAAACACTGAGGAGCTCAGGTGCAGGAACTCGAGGACTTGAGTCGGCGGAGGAGGTGGAGACGGAAACTGGAGGATTTGACAACTTCACTGACGTGTGGTTTCAATTTAGTTTGTTGTCTATGGTGACGCCGAGGAGCTTCGTGAATCTACAACCTGGAGTGTGTTCGGACCTAGGGTAATGGAAGGTGGGACAATGTCGGAGGAGAGGTTGATGTGCTGTGTGTGTAGGTGCTGTGTGTGGTGCTGTGTGTGTGTGGTGCTGTGTGTGTGGTGCTGTGTGTGTGGTGCTGTGTGTGTGTAGTGCTGTGTGTGTGGTGCTGTGTGTGTGGTGCTGTGTGTGGTGCTGTGTGTGTGTGTGTGGTGCTGTGTGTGTGTGGTGCTGTGTGTGTGTGTGGTGCTGTGTGTGTGTGTGTGGTGCTGTGTGTGTGGTGCTGTGTGTGTGTGTGGTGCTGTGTGTGTGTGTGTGGTGCTGTGTGTGTGTGCTGTGTGTGTGGTGCTGTGTGTGTGTGTGATGCTGTGTGTGTGTGGTGCTGTGTGTGTGTGGTGCTGTGTGTGGTGCTGTGTGTGTGTGTGGTGCTGTGTGTGTGTGTGGTGCTGTGTGTGTGGTGCTGTGTGTGTGTGTTGTGCTGTGTGTGTGTGTGGTGCTGTGTGTGTGTGGTGCTGTGTGTGTGTGGTGCTGTGTGTGTGGTGTGTGTGGTGCTGCTGTGTGTGTGTGGTGCTGTGTGTGTGTGTGCTGTGTGTGGTGCTGTGTGTGTTGGTGCTGTGTGTGTGTGTGGTGCTGTGTGTGTGTGTGGTGCTGTGTGTGTGGTGCTGTGTGTGTGTGTGTGTGTGTGGTGCTGTGTGTGTGGTGCTGTGTGTGTGTGTGGTGCTGTGTGTGTGTGGTGCTGTGTGTGTGGTGCTGTGTGTGTGTGGTGCTGCGTGTGTGTGTGGTGCTGTGTGTGTGTGGTGCTGTGTCTGTGTGGTGCTGTGTGTGTGTAGTGCTGTGTGTGTGTGTGGTGCTGTGTGTGTGTGGTGCTGTGTGTGTGTGGTGCTGTGTGTGTGTGGTGCTGTGTGTGTGTGTGGTGCTGCGTGTGTGTGGTGCTGCGTGTGTGGTGCTGTGTGTTTGGTGCTGTGTGTGTGTGGGTGCTGTGTGTGTGTGGTGCTGTGTGTGTGTGGTGCTGTGTGTGTGGTGCTGTGTGTGGTGCTGTGTGTGTGTGGTGCTGTGTGTGTGTGGTGCTGTGTGTGTGTGGTGGTGTGTGTGTGTGGTGCTGTGTGTGTGTGGTGCTGTGTGTGTGGTGCTGTGTGTGTGGGTGCTGTGTGTGTGGTGCTGTGTGTGTGTGGTGCTGTGTGTGTGGTGCTGTGTGTGTGTGGTGCTGTGTGTGTGTGGTGCTGTGTGTGTGGTGCTGTGTGTGTGTGGGTGTGTGTGTGGTGCTGTGTGTGTGTGGTGCTGTGTGTGTGTGGTGCTGTGTGTGTGTGTGGTGCTGTGTGTGTGTGTGGTGCTGTGTGTGTGTGGTGCTGTGTGTGTGTGGTGCTGTGTGTGTGTGGTGCTGTGTGTGTGGTGCTGTGTGTGTGGTGCTGTGTGTGTGTGGTGCTGTGTGTGGTGCTGTGTGTGTGGTTGTGGTGCTGTGTGTGTGTGCTGTGTGTGTAGTGCTGTGTGTGGTGCTGTGTGTGTGGTGCTGTGTTTGTAGTGGTGTGTGTGTGGTGCTGTGTGTGTGGTGCTGTGTGTGTGGTGCTGTGTGTGTGTGGTGCTGTGTGTGTGTGGTGCTGTGTGTGTGGTGCTGTGTGTGTGGTTGTAGTGCTGTGTGTGTGGTGCTGTGTGTGTAGTGCTGTGTGTAGTGCTGTGTGTGTGGTGCTGTGTTTGTAGTGGTGTGTGTGTGGTGCTGTGATGCCTGGTGAGTCGAAGGATGAAGGATGAGGATGATGGATGAATACTGTGGCCTTGTGAGTCGATGGATGAAGGATGAGGGTGATGGATGAATACTGTGGCCCTGGTGAGTCGAAGGATGAGGGTGATGGATGAATACTGTGGCCCTGGTGAGTCGATGGATGAAGGATGAAGGTGATGGATGAATACTGTGGCCCTGGTGAGTCGAAGGATGAGGGTGATGGATGAATACTGTGGCCCTTGTGAGTCGAAGGATGAAGGATGAGGGTGATGGATGAATAGTGTGGCCCTGGTGAGTAAATGACTAGATCGATGCTGGCCATGCTGGGGAGAAGGACTTTTTAGGTAAATGGCGTGAGGGGTGATGGTGACGTGTGCTGCCTCCTCCTCACTCACTGGACGACATTACCTGTACTAAGACGACGTGTACCTGCACTAAGATGACGTGTACCTGTACTAAGACAACGTGTACCTGCACTAAGACGACGTGTACCTGCACTAAGATGACGTGTACCTGTACTAAGATGACGTGTACCTGTACTAAGATATTGTACCTGTACTAAGATGACTTGTACCTGTACTAAGATGACGTGTACCTGTACTAGAAGACGATGTGCACCACTAAGACGACGTGTACCTGTACTAAGATGACGTGTACCTGTACTAAGACGACGTGTACCTGCACTAAGATGACGTGTACCTGTACTAAGACGACGTGTACCTCACAAGACAATGATCTCCACGAATCGACTTCAGGTCACGAGAGGCTGAGTTTACTGAGGCTACGATGCGACAAGACGACGGGCAGGTGGTGGTGGGCGGTGTCGTCAGGGTGTGTGGTAGTGGTGGTGGGCGTGTGGTAGTGGTGGTGGGCGTGTGGTAGTGGTGGTGGGCGTGTGTCGTCAAGGGTGTGTATGGTAGTGGTGGTGGGCGTGTGGTAGTGGTGGTGGGCGTGTGTCGTCAAGGGTGTGTGGTAGTGGTGGTGGGCGTGGTAGTGGTGGTGGGTGTGTGTCGTCAGGGGTGTGTGTAGTGGTGGTGGGTGTGTGGTAGTGGTGGTGGGTGTCGCAGGGTGTTGGTAGTGGTGGTGGGCGTGTGGTAGTGGTGGTGGGCGTGTGTCGTCAGGGTGTGTGGTAGTGGTGGTGGGCGTGTGTCGTCAAGGGCGTGTGGTAGTGGTGGTGGGCGTGTCGTCAAGGGTGTGTGGTAGTGGTGGTGGGCGTGTGTCGTCAAGGGCGTGTGGTAGTGGTGGTGGGCGTGTGTCGTCAAGGGTGTGTGGTAGTGGTGGTGGGCGTGTGTCGTCAGGGGTGTGTGGTAGTGGTGGTGGGCGTGTGTCGTCAAGGGTGTGTGGTAGTGGTGGTGGGCGTGTGTCGTCAAGGGTGTGTGGTAGTGGTGGTGGGCGTGTGTCGTCAGGGTGTGTGGTAGTGGTGGTGGGCGTGTGTCGTCAAGGGTGTGTGGTAGTGGTGGTGGGCGTGTGTCGTCAGGGTGTGTGGTACTGGTGGTGGGCGGTGTGTCGTCAGGGGTGTGTGGTAGTGGTGGTGGGCGTGTGTCGTCAAGGGTGTGGTACTGGTGGTGGGCGTGTGTCGTCAAGGGTGTGTGGTACTGGTGGTGGGCGTGTGTCGTCAAGGGGTGTGTGGTAGTGGTGGTGGGCGTGTGTCGTCAAGGGTGTGTGGTAGTGGTGGTGGGCGTGTGTCGCCAGGGGTGTGTGGTAGTGGTGGTGGGCGTGTGTCGTCAAGGGGTGTGTGGTAGTGGTGGTGGGCGTGTGTCGTCAAGGGTGTGTGGTAGTGGTGGTGGGCGTGTCGTCAGGGCGTGTGGTGTGGTGGTGGGCGTGTGTCGTCAAGGTGTGTGGTAGTGGTGGTGGGCGTGTGTCGTCAAGGCGTGTGTAGTGGTGGTGGGCGTGTGTCGTCAAGGGGTGTGTGGTAGTGGTGGTGGGCGTGTGTCGTCAAGGGTGTGTGGTAGTGGTGGTGGGCGTGTGTCGTCAAGGGCGTGTGGTAGTGGTGGTGGGCGTGTGTCGTCAAGGGTGTGGTAGTGGTGGTGGGCGGTGTCGTCAAGGGTGTGTGGTAGTGGTGGTGGGCGTGTGTCGTCAGGGTGTGTAGTAGTGGTGGTGGGCGTGTGTCGTCAGGGTGTGTGGTAGTGGTGGTGGGCGTGTGTCGTCAAGGGTAGTGGTAGTGGTGGTGGGCGTGTGTCGTCAGGGTGTGTGGTAGTGTGGTGGGCGTGTGGTAGTGGTGGTGGGCGTGTGTCGTCAAGGGTATGTGGTAGTGGTGGTGGGCGTGTGTCGTCAAGGGTATGTGGTAGTGGTGGTGGGCGTGTGGCA